AATCTCATGATTTTTCCTTGTTCTCCCAGTTGTAACTAATGCAGATAAATGACAACAACGCCCTTTCTATCGTTTCTTAACCAATAGCGTTCAATTTAGTTTAAATACAATATTTCACAATACCACTATGGATATGTGCAAGATTTCGTTAACTTTAGGGTTATAAATGGGCATACCAGCTCACCTCCCAAACACCCAAATGTTCCTAGAACGTCTACGTAACGCGTCTCCTAATAACGCGTACGTGATGGAATCTTTCGACGTTACTGCGCTGTACACCAACGTGATAACTCCGCAATGCAAGCCATCTTCGAACTTTTTGTTGAACATGAAGGAAGAATAAATATGCATTGCTTGCCCATCCAGCAGCTATTGGCTCTCTTAAAGGAGTGCCTAAACTGCTCGATTTTCAAATGGTCTGGGAAATATTTCGCCAAATAAGGGGGTTAGCAACGGTACAGCGACTTGCACCAAGCCTTGCCATTGCGTTTATGTCTAAAATAGAAGCCTTTGTTCTCGATCTCCGGCGACTACTCTACTGCAGATATGTAGATGATCGTTTTGTCGTCTTCTCTACGCAGGAGGAGATGGACAAATGCTTTGAATTATTGAACGAGCAGTCCGAGTACATAAAGTTCACCCGGGAGAAACCGAGAGAAAACTGGCTTCCGCTTTTGGACGTCCAAATAAACCTATCAAGTAGCGGTTACCTGACAAAGTGGTATCGAAAGCCAAGTAACAAGAACATTCTTGTTCATTTCCTTTCTTCCCACCCTTCACACACAAAGAGGGCGATTGTGAGAAACATGTTTCGAACAGCCACCTCTGTGTGCACTACCAGGGCACTAAACGAAGAATCACGCGACTCGGCCCGGCAAATAGCCATCTCCAATGGCAACAAAAAGTAATCCCACGAGATAAGTTTAGAAGGAGAACGACGCGCCCATGCGAAACACTTGGCCAAAAGAAAATCCCGTTTATGTTGCCTTTTATAAGCGATGAAGTAAGCGTAGCTATAAAACGATGCTTAAGAANACCAGGGCACTAAACGAAGAATCACGCGACTCGGCCCGGCAAATAGCCATCTCCAATGGCAACAAAAAGTAATCCCACGAGATAAGTTTAGAAGGAGAACGACGCGCCCACGCGAAACACTTGGCCAAAAGAAAATCCCGTTTATGTTGCCTTTTATAAGCGATGAAGTAAGCGTAGCTATAAAACGATGCTTAAGAACGGCAGGTCTAGAGGAATCGGTAGCGATAGTTGAAATACCGCCGGCTACTCTACGTCGTCAATTAGTTCGTAACCGCTTGTATGACCATCATGTGAAACAACAAATTGTATAATTTGCCTTACGACAGGGACGGCGATTGCATGAGTTCAGGTACGATATACCTGATCTCTTGTAATAGTTGCGGAGAAGAATATATTGGCGAAATGGGAAGACCTTTGTGTATCCGTATAAAAGGCACCTAGATGGGAAACAAAAAATAAGACAAAATACCACACTAGGCGCGCATAGGATACAAAAGCATAGCGGAGACGATTTTGAAGTAAAAGTCAATATCCTTGCACAGGAGATTAAAACACCAGCGCGCAAACTTCTTGAGGCTTTTCGGATAAATGCCAGAAACCTTACAATGAACAGCATGGTGGAATGTCCAGAGGTCATACGCGACCTGACCCTGTATGTTCGCATCAATTTCTGATGTGGGGTAGTGCAGTCATCAACCATGTGCGACTATAAACAGCTGCTCTAAACTTCCTAATTGGAAGTCATGTAAAAAGCGGTGAGTTTTTCGAGAAGCTGTTAATCATGTAATTACCATAGAGTTTTTCGTCTTTTGTAAGTGGTATTGAAGCGTTTGGCCTAGTAGATTGCATATCAGTATACTCTTTCTTTCCCTGCCTTTCTCATAGCCTGGAAAGGTCAAATTGACTGCAATCTACCTTACCAAACACCTTTATAACCAAACAGAGAAAACGCTAAACGAAGATTTCAATCACATTGAACACAGCTTTGCACACTAACCGCTTTCTATGAGGCTTCCACTGAGTGTGTCGCGTGAAAACCAACCACACAGAGCTCACGTGGAAGCTTAATGTGCCCCTCCCATTAGAATAACAGGCTTATATACTGCCCAATATCACGTGTGATAATGAGGCATTCTTCCCTGCGGTTCATTTTCGGATTTCTGGAATTAATCCAGAACGCCTTGCTTCTAGAGTTTTGCGCGCCTGTGTTCTTGATTCGCGTGCGAGGATCGTGACACAAACTTCAAAGTCTTCCCCGCTATGTCTCTGGGTCCTATGCGTGCCTAGCAGTGTATTTGGTCTATGTTTTCCGGCTAGCTGTTCTTTTATGCGGACACAGAGGGATCTGCCCGTTTCGCCAGTGTGATCGTCTCCGCACACCTTACAGGAGATCAGATAAACTATACCCGAGCTCATGCAATCACAGTCTTTACCATTGGGGCAAATTATGCAATTCTGCGTTGCACATAGACGGTCATCATTTGAGATGAAGGGTAGGATAAACGGAACCGTTCTATCGATAGAGTTGTCGTTTGGAGGCCTAGGATTTTCCCTGCACCTATCCCGAGCTGCAGTTTCGTAGCCATTAGAAGTGGCTATTTGCCGTGCCAATATATAATATATTGGCGAAATGGGCAGACCTCTGTGTATCCGCATAAAAGAACACCTAGATGGCAAACGAAACTAAGACAAAGTACCCCACTAGGCACGCATAGGATACAAAAGCATAGCGGAGACGATTTTGAAGTAAAAGTCAATATCCTTGCACTGGAGGCTAAAACACCAGCGCGAAAACTTCTTGAGGCTTTTTGGATCAGTACCGAAAACCCTACAATAAATAGCAGGGATGAATGCACAATGGTCATACGCGACCTGATCCCGTATGTTCGCATCGATTTTTGATGTGGGATGGTGCAGTCGTCAACCACATGCGACTGTAATCAGCTGTTCTAAACATCCTCATTGGAATTCACGTAAAAAGCGGTGAGTTTTTCGAGAAGCTGTTGACCATGCAATTACCAAAGAGTCTTTCGTCTTTTTGTAAGTGTTATTGAAGCGTTTGGTCTAGTAGATTGCATATCAGTATACCCTTCCAGGCTCTGAAGAAGGCGATGCTGCCGAAACGTCAGCTAGTGTTGTATTGTATTGTGTTTCTCTATGGAAGTAAATGTACGCTGTTTAAAAACCTCGCGATTGCTGAACAAGAAAACGACGCGTTCATATTGCAATGCCGAGGTCAATAGAAAGTCGATCCTGGGAACTATTGTAAGGTTAGAACTCTAGAAGGTGAACAGCAAGTATGGATAGTGTCCGGCTATATTTTCTGCAATTGTATTTCCAAAGTACTCTACTGCCTATGCATTGATCTTCTTAGGAATTTAATTTTAAACTTAAACAAGAAACCGCCTCACCGACCTCTCACGTGTAATAAATCTCGAACTGTTTAGTCTCCACGCTTCGTGGCGCGTCTTCAAATGCTGGATAGAGGTTAAGTGCAGGTGAAAAGCGACCACGTATTAGCCGTCACACATAAGTGGATTCAGTGGAATGGCTCCATGTCTCAGAGTAGTTAGGTTTTCTTATATTGATATATTTTCTTTGTAATTGATTGAACGGCCTTCATAATATGGAAGTTATATTTTTCCGGGCAGGCAAAATACTTCTTCACAGAGGTGCAAGATAGCGGGGTAAAGTGTTACACAGTGATATGGATATAGGTAATTCAGCCGAGATTTAAGCTTTCTGGCATGTGAGTGCATTAAATGACTGTGATAAAGTCCATGAAGAAGTCTATGGAGATGAAACCGTCTTCTAGAATAACGACAGTAGAATGACGCGACATAGTCGTACGTCCTTGGCCAACAGCACAAGGTCGACTACATTACAAGGCCACACCACTATACACTCTAGAAGCGCTAACGACCGCCACGATAATCGCGGTTTTAGAGCGGTTTGTCAGTACGGTACTGCGATATCACGTAAGTTCATTAACAGATCAATAAATGCTTATGTAAATGTTTACCGTTTATTTTCTGCCTACTACAATTTTCATGGCAGGTTACTAAGCGAAATACAACCACAACGTTGCTGAGATATTTGCAAAACTCTGGACCGCAGATGTCTATGGTGAGGAACGAACGCGCTGTTGTCCTTTCCGGGTAGTAACGCGTTCACCACCACACCATGCGGGTCCTTCGTTTCGCCTGTCTCATGTTAATTGTCACAACGTTCAGTCATCTTCTAACTTTACGCGCTATACAGCTATCCACTTGATTAACCGATTTCAAGACACAACACTCTGCCATGTGCAAAAGCTGTTATTGGCATAATAATCAAGTTGTCTGGAAGAAGTGATCTTCCATGAGCATAGACTGCATAACAAAAAGTTGAACAAGTTCTAATGCAGAATAAAGGAGTAAGCGGTATTTCTTGATTGATAAAGCATTGTATGACACTGTGGAAAGTTCCCGTACTTGAGTAGATATATTTATCATCATTAAATTAATTTTAACGCTATTTTCTTAGGAAGAAGATCTTTTCAACGTTATTTTCTTACAAGGACAAAAGCAAAGCAGTTTGATCATATTACAAATTTGCAAATATGCTTGAATTTCAGAATATGTTGGTAACGTTTCAAACTGTAACACTTTTTACTTTTAGGTTTCCATCTGTGGTCATAGTCCGTAGTGTTCCGTGCATACTATGGCGCGCGCCACGGGAATATGGTATTCTCGGCGGAGACTGACGACTATGTGTGCTGTCATAACATTTTTCATAATGGCTATAGATTATCGAAAACAAAGAATAACTTCATTGAAGGAAGAAAGAATGAAGGTATTGAAATATGCCGAAATAAATATGCTAATAATATGCTCTTAATGCTCTTAATAAACATTAGCATGAGTTCCCTAAGTTTCAGTTGGGAGATCACAAGCTTCCTACACTTTTTCTTCAATCATATTCAGGCTGTTAAAACGGATTTCATAGCTGATGTGGATTATGCGTTAGAAACAATGAAATATATGTATGACATGCAGAATGGAAAAGCGGAAATACGAACTGTCGTTGAACAGGTACGCTTATTTCTTTCAAAGACATTGTTTCAACTATGGATTTAAATTTTTGTATGCTGAAAACAAATAAGGAATATCGAAATGGTGTCCAGTCCTACAGTGTCCTGCCTGTTTTTCCTATCCGTCTTTATCAGTTTCTATTTGGTAGCGATTACTATTCACTTTCTTTGTAATCTTGCCCTAATTTCATGTCATTTCCTTTGTAGGGGTTTTGTTGGAGGTATACCACTATACATCATTGTCATCATAGGTTCTATCCCACTCCATGAGCCAGCTAATCCATATCCCCCCCGGTGTATGCGAATTCATACCAAACATGTCTAGAAGGATAAATACACTGACATAATACATCAGCAAGCTACCGAAAGTCATTTCGCAGACTAGACATGCGTTCAATCACCTCTATGGTGCTTAATGGAATCGAATAAACGGCGCATTCCAAGGGGATCCGCGTTTGTTTGCGCTTGCATGGATGCGACTGCAGGCAGGCGATTCGTGAAGTAGCTGATGCAAGTGTGGCATTCTTCAGACTTAGTAAGAGAACAATAAGGACCATTATTGTGAACAAAATAGTTAGTTATAAAACAGTTCACGATAGTGTAGAGAGATCTACGTCTAGGAACAAGAAATACACCAGTATTATTGGTGGTGCCATATCGACCGTTTTGAATTTGTCGGTGAAGAGCAGTGGACTGAAAACGATGAATTATATCTGTATTCGGCTTATCTAGACACAAGAAAGAACTCGCTTTATCCATGGAACGATGCCATTCAGGTATTCTTCGGTAATAGTGATTGGTAAAACAACGAGCAAGATTGAACTTCAGGTCCTTACCGTATCATTTGGAAGTATGAGACGAAAAGTTTTCTGCAACATTTTCAACGAGGAACATTATGCCGTCGTTGAGGGTTATGTACGAGAAATCTGGCAACGCGGATGGGATCCGAGGTGGTCAGATATTTTTCTGCTAGGTAGACTACTAATTTCTTTTAGTTCAGTTGACAAATTTAAGAGACCAGTTCTACAATGCCAATTTAATAACGTGCCCTATTCCAAAAAGACTAAAACTGTCTTCAAAGTTGTTCATATCAATCTCCACAATGCCATGTCGAACTCAACGAACAGCATTACGTGTGCACATCAATCTACCAAAACAAAACAAAGAAGCCGTAGCTGTATGCGTTAAAGGGATGGATTTCCAGGTAACCACAGAAACTGGAGTTTCCTTTCCCTTTCGTCAAATTACAAAACTACAGTGTAAAATCATGTGGTAGTTGACTAGAAGGTTGCAAAAGCAGCTGTTTGTTTCTGTGATTAACTATGCTCTTTCATTTTTTCAAGTGCTGCAAGAGCAGATGAAATGTTAGTGAACAATGAGCTACTATTTTTTAAACACGACTTGAACCAAGTAATTATTTCCTTAAAGGTTAACCCTACTATCCAACTTGTATGATTACACTTTCCAAATCTATCGACGAACATAAAAGACTAAGCTCAAGATGACTTCAGCACTTATTAAACGCCTATACTTTCTGGAAAGATAACATTCTTGGTCGAGAAAAAGTTTTCAGGAAGATGTCTCACAACGGCTCGTCGAATGGCTTGAAGCACAATATCTGTTCGGTGTGTCAGCAGTCACTATATACAAGTATACTGTATCGAAACAAGTTCAAAACGTACTAACTCACTATGAACGACTCGGAAAACTCGTACAGGTACGGATTGACAGCTGTTATTTTTCCTGCCTTGGAACGTTGACTTCTATGTAGCACAGTGCCAAGGATAAATAGTACATGCTTTGTACTCAATCAAAACGAACATAAAACATCCCACCTGCTGCAGTTCATTGAAAAATTTTTTATTTACTATACTACAAATTTTCATATCCCTCTAACACTACCCGGTCATTCACCTAATCTGCCATTAGTTCGAAGCAGATACATCGCAAGAAATCGTCAGCAAAAGCGACGACACGAATTGATACCGTATAACGATTGCTTCTATAGGTATGTTTATATCGAAAAATTCCGATATAGATCAATAAAATTCTAGTTCATGGTTCTTCTACAGAAGTCGATTGCATTTAAAAAGGTTTAGGAAGAATTACAACCACAATGATGCAGAAATATTTACAAAACTCCGGACCGCAGGTGTTAGCGGTGGGGATCGAACACGCTATCACCCTTTCCGGGAGCTAACGCGTTCACTACCACACCATGCGTCTCCTTCTTTTCGCTTTTCTCTCAGCCATTTTTCTATATAAGAATAGTTATTAAATAGTATTACAACTATGTGGAAAAATCTGTTGAAATCCAACTGTTTCGTAAATAGTTTCATGCACAACTTTTGCGACACTCATTAACATACGAAGTTGTGAGGTTCGTCGAGATGTTTTAAACAGCCACATTTCTGCCCCACTTATCCATTCTTTGAGGGAGTGAGTGAAAGTGAGATATTTCGTAAGTCACTCAATCATTTCAGTCCTTTTACGATTAACGTAAGAATCCACTGTGAATATGCCAAGTAAGGAAAGGTAGATGACTTGTTGTCCATAGAAAACGGTCGAACTGCCGATCAGCACGTCCAGATGAAATGGCGCTACTATGTACTCTATCACACTTAGTGTTCACATTCTTAGCCCATTTAGAACAAAAAATCATTGAATTCATTGTAATCCATCCAATACTTAGACAACACGCATCGAATAACGAAATTTCTCCCAGAAACGATTACTACTGCTTTATTTGTGGGACAAGCGAGACTAACAATTCTCTTGTAGGCATATAACCACACATCGTTACACTCTCATCTTGGATATCGATGAACTTGTGGTTCCACTAGAACACGACACATACTCTGACCTTCTGAGTGCAATCGAAGCCAACACTACCGTTGATCGTATTAGTTCGCTGTCTTTTTCGAATGTATTCAAATTTCCCGCCAAAACCGAGAACACGTCATGGGCCAAGCATATGTACATGCTGCGAAATTCACTCAGATCACGGAGAACTAGTGACCGTCGGAATTATGGAAAAAGCATGACGAAGTGAGTTTAACGCAATTTTCCAACTAAATGTATTGAAAACATTGAATACGACGTATGGTGAGCAAATATGAATGGGTACGAGCACAAATGTGTTGCATATTAAAAAAAAAGAACATAGTTGATCAATCCCTGAGGGATGCGCCATGGTGCATATCTAGCTTATACAATGACCTGTGGTGGCCTACCGATGTATCGAGGCAGTGTTGCTATTCTCCCACACAAGTCTGGTACCAATATGCCGACCCTGAAAGGATGAACAACATGGTGAACCTAGGGCGCAGGATCAAACCCATGTGCATTGAACGACGCTTTTAACCGCTCCGCTACACGCGCCTATGGAACATGTTACTCATCGAAAATGTTTTTCGTTCTTACGTCAAAAACGAAGAACAGATTTTCTTAATTTTGACCCAACATTAAATAGCAAGCAAGAGGAAAACTCCGTGTCCTAGTTTTCCACTGTTCAACCTCAACTCTCAACCTCAAAAGGAATAGTTTCAGTACCGCTACAGTCGCTACCGTATTCAACCATTTCGCACTTCATCGACTCACACCAAATGTGACCGGCACGATCTACGTACCTGAACGACTCGCCATTAAATTGCACTACAAATTGACATGCCCCGTCGAATCCCGTAAAGAATGTGCCGAACTACAAGACGATACGGTAGTAGATCGCAGTATCGACCGATTTGCTGACGAACTTGAGCGACGAGTGGATCGAACACTATGTGAGTTACATTTACTGTGAAAAACGATGAAGTGAAACGGGTGTGATAAATTTTAATAAAATTTTAATTTCGTAACTTGATGTTTAGTTGAGCTGTGGTTTTGTCCCCTATAGATTTAATATACACCACAACAAGAGGTGGTGCTAAGGTTTTTGCGTCCACCTATTTGCATAAATCCAAGGGTCAGGAGAAAACAAAAAGCAGAAAAAAGAACGAGGTAAAAGAGATGGACGATTCAGAAACAAACGATCAGCTAAATAAAGGTTTCAAACAAGACCATGAGATTTGAATGATAAATGGGAACAAACACAGGTGTGGCACAAAAGCTTATGGATGAAAAGACAGGAAGAGAGAAAGGAAATTTAAACTGTATGTTGCGGGACACAGAATCTTTTCAATGTCCACTTCCTTGTTGTGTAAATATTGTCAAACTGTCTAAGCAAATATTTAAATATAGAATGCTAAAGTGGGCCGTGTTCAGCGAAATGTTAGTTGTTAAGACCTAGATGTGCTCACTATACAAAACGACTTATAGGCCGATGCTATAGTGGACTGGAAAACAGTCTTTGATGGGAAAAAAATCACAAAACGGGGACAAAAAACATGTGGATATAAGTGTTTAGTAAAAGTTTAAAAAAAGCTATTCTGATTTCGAATACAGCCTCAGCTTAACCGGGTTCAATGCAAATTTGTGCTTCTCAGACCATTCCCGTTGATAGATGATTGCTGATGGCATCACTGGATAGAAAACTGGCTGAAAGAAAGGCAAAGCAAGGGCCTCAGTGTTGCAGAAGGTCGCAAGTGAACCCCCGGAAAGGTTGATCGCGGGTTCGATCCGGTCTGCGGTCCAAGTTTTGCAAATATATCAGCTTCATAGTGGTTACATATCTAATAGGTACTCACGTAGAGGTCGGTGAGAACCACTAGATTGACGGCAGCTGTTGATGGCTGAATCCCTATGATGTAGTCGCTGGCGTTCGCCTGTACGGCCATGTCCAGATTGTTGGTGTGTCGTTCAAACATCTGAATTATCATACCGGCAATGCACTGTGATATTTCGGGACAACTGGATAAACAGAAAAAAGAAAGAACATCAATCGATTGTCAAGCTCATTGAGATGCGCCATGCATTCGACTCTATTCGTAGCATCGTTAAGATAATTGAATGCATATCTATAGCATGACGTGCAGTAGGAATCGATGTGTCAAGTCGGTGTTTTCTTATCCTCTTAAACAAGTACGGTACTAAATTGCCGACCGGCGAAGACGCGCACTTTGCCTGCTCAATGGGCGCGATCGAACCAAATACCATGTGCACATGGTAAGGCACCTCTAACTACTGCGCTACACGCGCCCCAGATATTATCAGTTGCAATAACAAGATAATTACGGCATTAATAGGAATAGAAATAATTACAACACTTCAATAACAATAACAAGATCAATAGTGATAGATTAGTGGTAGAAATAAACGAAAAGTACTCACGATAAATAACAGTGCTTAAAGTGGTTAACACAATTCATAATGGTCACAACTACAGTTATAATCATAACTATAATTCTTATTTGGCAATAAAAATAGATAGTAATAATGACCTCCGAACGGTTTACCACCTCATCGTGGTTGAGAGGTGACTCTGGTTGTCGAACTGCGATGTACAGCAGGGGGATTCATCCCCCTGGCAGGTCTCTCAAGCTGAGGAGTCCCGCGTTTCCATCAGGAAATCTAGCTAAAAGTAAACCAACACCAAGATCCATCCCCGTCCTGGTATCAAAATTACATGGTGACAAATCTCTCTCTGATCCACAAGGGCTGTGACTTCCTGAGGTGGTAAAGACCTGGGGCAGACATTGGCCAGATTGACCTCGGGATTCCAGGGATCCACAATTGCTTAACCAGCAGATCTCCGAAAAATGGAGATTATGCTAGGACCCGCACAACCTATGAGGACGGGCCATTCAAGTATCAAGTAAGTAACAATAATGAAAATAAGAGGAAACTTTGAAAACATTTAATTCGGAGAAATGGCATTTTTAAGAAAATCAAGCAAACAGATTTCTCAAACAACTACGACAGGTGCTGATTTTCGACAACTCTTTACAGTTCTTTCGTAACTGGGGTATCTGAAGGGCTCAAAACTTGACAGATTTATATAGAAGAGGCATTCCCCTATTGCATTTACGGTACAAGTACTTTTTCTAAAAATTCGCCTTAACTTTGAAACTGTAGAGAAATCGAATCCAGGAAAAACTTTGCCGCAAACAGGTGGTATTTCTAAAGGTTTTGAAATAAGCTGCAACAACTATAAACGTTAACGATGCATTCGGTATCCTATTCTGAGAAATTCCGACTATTCCGTCGTTTCGGTGTTCAAAACACGGCTGTTCACGAAAAGCAAAAAAAAGCATTTCCTAGGTTCAAAAAAGCTTCATGGCGTTATAATACGAAAACCTGTAGCATATCGATAAAAATCAACAGATGCTGATGACGTTTGTCAGAATTGATAAGGTTTAATATTAGCTGAGATGGCCGCTCAAATGTCAGTAGCGCGTTTGTTTCCCAGACTCACGCATTGAAATCGATGCGTGTTGGTCACCAAGTGCCAAATTCGTGTCAGCAGTCAGATGTCGCAGGTAATCTGGTGATATTCTGTTTTCTGACAGCATCTTTCACTCCATTTTTCTCTTCATCGCTTTCCACGTTCTCTCCTTTCTTCCAAAAAATTCTTATTTCCTAACCTGTTGTAAATTAGGTGCCAACTGCTCGATCTTGCGCTGATAGCGACCGAGGGCTGTTTGACAGTGTGCCAGTCGTTGTCGTTCCACCGCTTCCAAGCTTTCGACACCTTTTCGAAGCACACCTTCCGTCACCCTGCAATGGCTTGTATGTAGCGATGAAGTTTCTCGAAGAGTCATTCTTTCCGTATTCATTTATGCGAACCCTCATCATCTATGCGAGAAAAAGAATAGTGACGTATTCCTGACCACTCCTTCAATGGTTTACAGATTTTGCGAAACCAGATGGTCTACACAGGAGAACAGGGACTTTTCCTCCAACTAAAATAACTCAAGTTGAGCTCAATTTCTACTCGGAAACTCGACCAGAATAAACCAAAACCGGGAGCAGCTGTTGCTTAGGAAGCAACGTAAGTCGTTAAGTGGAAAACCTGCCCAGGCTGCGGACTGTGTGGTAATGCGTTAAAATAGGTAGGAAAGAAATCTGCACAGCTAGAAATATAAAAGATTAATAGAAAATGTACCATAATATGCATGATTCTTCGTGAAAACAAACTATTCACGTGCCAAGTATTCACAGCAACTTTACGCTTCATGTAGAAAAAGTTTCGAAAACATGTTAGTCCTGACAATGCGTTTCATTACAAATTTCTCACTTCTTTCGGAAACTACCTTTTCGGACTTTATTCGTTGATCACTTGATACGAAAATTAACTACTATCAATCCAATTACCGGCGTTGTTTTTCAAGGTCAATTGTCTCCCAAATGTAGCTCTCCTCCTGCTTCTTTACTTGTTCTTCTAAGCGAGACTTCTTCACATTTACCTGGAATAAGCAGACTTAGGAGTGTTGAAAAAATAATGAAGAATGTTTTTCATCAATAAGCAGACACGAGGTTGTTAATATAGAATTTATTAGAACACAATTGCTGACGTTTCGGCGGTTTCGCCTTCTTCAGAGCCTGGAAAGGTCAAATTGAGATGTGATCTACTCAGCCAAACACTTTCACAACCCTAGCAGATAAAACTTGACAATTCGATTTGCATTCGCATAAGAAACAACTTCATTCAAACACCTACCGTTTATTTGTTGTAAGTATTTAAGTTAGTTGGCGGATAGCCGCCGCACAGAGTAATACATGGTCGATAACTGTGTCCATGTCAGGTCATTGGATCAGCCTGAGGTATGGCGCCAGGTCACGCGTGATGACAAGACACTCCTCCTTGCGGTTCATTTTTGAATTTTTGGCATTGATCCAAAACGCTTCAAGAGTTTTACGCGCTGATGTTTTTGATTCCTGCGTAAGGATTGTGACTCCTACCTCAAAATCTTCTCCGTTGTGTTCTTGCATCCTATGCGCGCCTAGTGGAGTATTTTGTTTTAGTTTAGATTTACCGACTAGGTGTTCTTTTATGCGGACGCAGAGCGGTCTACCCGTTTCGCCAACATATTCGTGCCCGCACGCTTTACAAGAGATCAGATAGACTGTACCCGAACTCATTCAATCACCGTCTCTACCATTTGGGCAAATTATGCAGTTTTTTGTTGTACATAGTCGGTCGTACAGGCGGTTGCGAACTAGCTGGCGTCTTAGAGTGTCCGGTGGTGTTTCTATCACTCTTACGGAATTCTCTAGACCGGCCCTTATTAAGCAGCGTTTTATAGCTGCACTTATTTCGTTTGAAATAAAGGGCAACAGGAACGGAGCCTTGTTTTCGCTAGAATTATCGCTCTGGGGCGTGGGATTTCCTCGATGCCTATCCTGAGAAGCTACAGTTTCGTAACCATTTGAAATGGCTATTT